TTCGTGGCGTGGCGCCGGAGGTAGAAGGCGCTACAACGTCACTCAGTTTTTAAAAAGGTCTCTTTTTCGCAAACGTGATACGTGAAACTGGCATGCACAGTCACGAACAAAAACAGAAACTGAATTGATTTGAATTCGTAAAGAGCAGCTCATGAATTAGAGAATGCAGAAAATTAAAATTACGTTCGTTAAAAGTCACAATTTGATTTTTCAAGTTTTGAGTTCATATAGAACAGGGCTCTACCAAAGTGATGAGAAGTTCAAAATTATTATTTGACGATCCGTTGCAGACTGAAAGAACGAGTATCGGCATTTTGGGGAAGTTTGAACGTTGAGGAAGCGTTTTTTCAACTATGACTCAAAACTTAAAAGCGTGCGGAAACACGGACATCCCCTGACCCAGTATAAAAGGGGGTGGGAACTATTTCCGCGTCCTAATCCCAACCCTAACTATCAATTAAACACTGGCCTAACCTTCAACTGAACCTTCAAAATAAACACAAAATTAACCTTAGCCCTCACTCCCTCCCACGGGACTTTAAAGCAGACCAACCTGTAATGCAGAGTATCTATTTCTGTGTCCTACCCAAAACTTATTTTTAAGATCCAGTACACGGTTTACCTTGCAGATTGCGGAAAGGTAAATATTCTTAAACTTCTGTCTTCTTAGCAAGGTGATATCACGTTGTGTGTTTGGCTTAAGTTGTAGTCTCCCACAAATTTTTGTAGAACATTTGACCTGATAAGTAGTTTCTCTGAAACCTCCTGCTTCCTTAAGTAAGATATAATTGGTTCATGTTGACCTTTTTAACTCCCTGCCTCCTAAACAGAACGGAGAATCAGGCATTCCACTGAAGCTGATTGAACGATATGCAAGTGAGGCTGACTGTGAATTCAACGCAATAGCTGTCACCTTGGAGGTTATTCGGGAACGTCAGCTGAAGGAAGCAGGTTTACCCGTGGTAAGTAGCACAATTTCAGTCTCCCAGATGTTTAAAAGACTCGCTTTTTCTTGAGTTTGCTCTTATATTCATGCTCAGGAGATTATGTTCGGCAGTGAAAAAAGACATTTTCACGTATTACTGTGTCCAAATTAAACCGTCCGGTTTTTTAATTTTATCCATTTGTATTGTTCCTTGGTTAATCATCTACACTTGATGCTTAACTGGACTTTCCCTCTGAAACGCTACGCATTAAGATCCTCAGAAAAGCAGTTGGCGAGCATACGTAAGCTGAGGATACATTCTCATCGGGCTAGTACATTTACGTGGGATGGGGGTGCACGTTAAAAATACGGTCAGTAGTGTTCGCCTTATCATAAAAGTAAGTCATGGGAATAGGGAGGAGGGATAGAGAAGGCTGTTTACATAGTGGGGAGGGTTTGGGGAAGTCTGTCCAAAGTGAGGAGGTGGAGAGAGAGAGAGCTCGGAAGAATATGTGCCGTTAAGTGACCGTTGGCCATGCAAGACGCGGACCTTGCAGAAGGTTCTTTTGTGCAAGCATGACTGGCTTCCTCAGCCTGATAGCGGTCGCTCGCCAACTGCCCTTCCGAATTCTCTGATAGGAATTTTCGTAACATTGAGGTCTGCTGGCCCTTTTTGACTTGTTGTCGTGTCTATTGTACGGTCTTTCCTGTTCCGGATTTCATCAAAATGAACTATTTCCACCTTAATAATATGGATATTTGACTTTAATATAACAGTTCACTATGAGGCATGCTTGGTAAGGTTATACTGAAAGGATTATGAGTAGCGGTTTTAGCTAGGCCAACATTTAGAGATCAACTGACTTTCAGGAGCCGACTTAATGCAACCTAAGAAGGATGGTAAAAAGCGATTTATTTCCAAATTTCAGAACGGCCCTCTCTTTAAGCTTGCACTTCTGCTTGTACTATTTGTCTCGACTTTGAGGTACAGAATCCAAGCCCATTTGGCCCTCGTAATTTGACGTTTTGGGTGTGCAATCAGGGATGTATGTATATAGTAGAACATAATGTTGTTGCATGACATTCGTTTTTTTTTTATAAAGAACCGTGAACTAGGAATAGCAACAGGAACGAACTGAATTGTACAATGAAAGGATGCTGGCTTAGGAATGGAGACAAGATGGGCGAATTATGTTTAGATAACTACCTGCATAGTAATCTCTAAAGGCGATAAAATATTTTCTGCAGTTTCAAAAAAGAATACGAGTTCTTTTTGGGGCCGCTGTAAAGTGCTTTTGTTTACTTCTTGTCGAATCCATTTAATCTCCTGTAGAACGGACCGATGTGTACTTTCCCTCACAAATGAACACCACAGTCAAGCATCCAAAAAATTATTTTAATAGTCTCTTGCAAGTGTCCACCATCAGAGGTAGTAGCAACAATAGAAAAAAGGGCGCGCTTATAGGGAGTACAAGTCGATCACTAGTGCAAGCCTGGAGGTGACTGCGCAGGGCTCCGTATGCCAGCACCAGATCGATACATCGATTGATTGACTTCCCATTCAATTCTCGAATCGTATTGCTTGAGACATGGGCAATTATTTTCAAGGCTGCGAAGTTAAACTCATGGCCCGTGGCCAGCCTCCCGCGATAGTGTACGTTCTCTCACAGAAGTGCAATAGAAAATTGTCGCCAGTCCCACGAAGTGCAAATCGCACAGGTCGTTTTCCGGCCCCGACTTGTCCGTAGCTCCCATCTGTTGCCCCAATAAGTTCGACTTAAGTCTACGACCGAATCAGAGGGTAGCCGCTTACCTTAGTGAGCTAAACCCAAAAATTGTATCTGGCGGATAAAAAGTTGTGTTTAATCTGATTCGGTCAGTAGTGTCGCGTTATGTGTAGACAAGGGCTTTC